AGTTCGTTGTCCCGATCAGTTCGTTGTCCCGATCAGTTCGTTGTCCCGATCAGTTCGTTGTCCCGATCAGTTCGTTGTCCCAATCAGTTCGTTGTCCCGATCAGTTCGTTTTCCCGATCAGTCTCTTTTCCTTTCTTGTTGTCCTTTTCTCCAAAACGCCATGTGCAGGATTGGGTAGCAGTTGGTGGAAGGTAATATGGCTCATTCGTGTCGACAGAAGGCAATAATGTCGGGCAAAGCTATTTCGGACGAACGTTTCCCTAGTTGGTATTTTAGATGTGTCTGTCAATGACTGACTCTGCTGAGTAATGTTTTATTCAGGAATGGACAAGCTAACTTAAATACTGTTGTTACTGCAAGTATCTATATATCCTAATCGGTACAACTAGGATAATCCAGGAACTGCTCTGCTTAAGTCTTTCTTGTCACAGTCAATCCAAACATTGAAGAACATCTAGCGAGCTCAGTGCTGTTTTGTACTATCTTTTTATTTCGTGTTTTTTAAATGTTATTGTTAAGTCACTTTAAAAGCTATGAACCCCAGTAGACAAAAACAGACAGACAGACAGACAGACAGACAGACAGACAGACAGACAGACAGACAGAGGAATAAGGGGCTTTCATTTTCATTCTGTAAAACGTCTCCAAATCTAGAAGTCCAAAGTCAGGAACTAACATACCTTAAACATAAAAGTCTCATAATAAAACGGGAGCCTGCCACTCCAACAAGAGGTACCTGGGAGAAAGAAGTCAAGTGAAAGAAAGTCCAACTGGAGTAGCTGGGAGTCGCGCGCTTCTATTTGCTCGTGCATCGATCTGAAGAGGCACTCACGTTCAGGGAGAGTGACAGTCGAAATTAGAATAGATTTGAAAATGCTCCTTCATGCCGATCTCGAGATTGGTTTGAGAAGCAGTTTTGAGTTGGAGATGTGACTTCCATTTCGACCTGTAGATTATTGAACTTCTTCTGAATCACAGTTTATATTTCACTGCTTTGTAGGATTGTTTTCACTATATACAACGCTCTGATAAACCATGGCTTGAAAAGAGTCGGGGGGCTGTTCTTCCGAATGAACTGGCCGTGTAATAAAGATATTTGAAACGGATACATTATCTTGATTAAGGTACAGGAGAAGGGTTCATTTGTGAGGCAGCGTGGTGGAATCAGGCTCTTGTCAAAATAATCAAAGTGAAGAAACTTGCATTTTTCTGCAGGTTTGTGAAATTTTATCAAATTTTTTTTTTGGGGGGCTCAACACCTTTCATGTCCATTAAAGAACTAATTTCGTGTGGATTTTTCTGAAAAACGTTGATTAAAGGCACAAAAAATGAAAATTTTCATGTACCACGGACTCTTAAGCTAAGGAAATAACTAATCTTTGTCGGCCATTTTCTCATTAATTTTACCTCTGAAAACAGGTAACCCCCA